CTTCCAAATTGCTGCTGCTTTTTTGAATCTCTCCCACGAGGGAAGGAGCGGCGTCATAGCAGGAGCTCCGAGGTGCTTCCTTCCCTTGGTCAACTCGTCCCATCTCTTCCTTCCCGTCTTGGTGCCGCAGTATGTGCACCTTCCCCAGGTCAGTGGTCACCTAGACTGTATCCGTACCTAAGGTAAACCAGCTGCACCCGCCGTTGCAGTCATTTGAGACGAATCAATCCGCAAACTGAGGAAAGAGCATTCACTACTGTTGGAGTGACTTCTTCCCCCCTCGACTTAACAGGCGGGATATAGCCACCCCCACATCAATCTTATTCACCCCCTCCACCTTCCTGCCAACAGCAGCATCGGTCCCTGTTTCCTCAGGTGTTCCTGCCGTGCTGTTTCCTGCGGTTTCCTGAGCGCAATTCACTCCAATCGACCATCAGATTGTGACCCCAGACGAACCAAACAACCCAATTTCACTTGGTGTGTTCTTGCTTGTCTCGCCTCCAGATTGCCGCCCTTCATCACACTTGCCTCCACTCGCTACCTGCCTGGTCCACGTCCCCGGTCGCCATCGTGTTGCTTCTTCTGCAGGGTTCAACGGCGTCCACCTCACTGAACACTCCCGTCGTCCCGTCCGTCGTTCGTTCGTTTTTCGTGGACCACCCCCTCTTTCTTTGATCACACCCCCACTTCATCGCCCTGAATCCCATCACGTTGCCCATCGTCGACGTCCACCTCAGGCCCTCTCCACAGAGTACCTACCAGCAAAACAATCATTCGGTTCAGCTCAGTCAACGCACTGCAGCGCACCGCAACCAACTCCCGCTGCAGCCCAGCGAGCGCCTTCCCGTTGCACACGCACCCTGACCACGGGCAACAACAGACTAAAAAATACCTCCCCTGGCATCTCACCCCAAGTCCACCTAGGACCGCTGCCCGGCTGCGCTGCACTGCTCCCCACTAACACACCCCCGGCCCCCGACTAGGTACCTAGACCGCCCACTGGACCCGCGCTCAGACTCGCCGCCCAGTCCTCGAATCCCAGTCGGACGGGTTCTTCGCTGTTGTCGCATCCCTTTTAGTAGCCCGGCGTCGCCAGACACAAACGTCTTGTCTCTCCTCTTGCTTCACCACTCCCAAGGAGACCGCTTCGTTCAACCCCTTCCCTTCCACTCCTTCGGCCCAGGTCGCCTCATCGTGTCGTCTTTTGACACCGTCCATTCCTTAAAACCAAGTAAGTTCGCCCCGGGTCGCGGCCTGCATTCCCCCTCTTTTTTCTCTTCTGCACCTCAACCTTCCAGGACAGAAGGGCAGGCAGGCTACCGACATTCCTTTTCGCGTTCGCGGCATTCCGACTCACACACGTTCTTTTTACAGCATCGTCACTCCTTCACCAGTTCTCATCGAGAGTCCTATTTTTTCGGCTTACCACCAAGAAAAAAAGACATACGGCTTCGTTCGTCCGACCTACTTCCAACTACCAAACAACGAGGGTTTCCCTGTTGTTCAACCACACTCTTTCACCATCTTACCACAAGGTCCTTGACGGAACCGTATCAGCAGTGCTGCTTCATCACACACAGCTGGCTCTGAGAACCATCTCACGGGATCATATTTGCCTCGCCCAGCAATTCAAATATCTCCCCGCCGCAACACCTCTTCCATAAATCGTCCGGACAGGATCCCTGGTTGCTAGATTCCGCGAATCTCCAAGACACCCAAGACACCAACACCAAGGTGAGTCGTCAACCTAACCTCTTTCGATCCCACTACTGCCCCTCATTCCTTCTACATCAATGCTATTGTTGGGAAATACCGGCTCCAAGACATCTGCATGCCACCGCGACACAGCCAGATCCTCCGACAAAGACCTTTGTTCCCTTGTCACCTGTCTAGCTGCTTGATCACGTGGCTCCTGCCATGTTTCCCAGGATCTCAAACAAGATGGCGGCGACCTGGGCAGAGGTCTGGATCGTGTAGGCTTGAGGCTGGCATGCCAAGGTCTTACATCCAAAACGTTTGGGTGCTTCTTCACTGCCCTGCATGGGGATATATGAAGCTGATGGTTTTCTCTGGCCTTGGCTGGGGGATGACTGGTCTTGGTTCCTCGTCACCACTTTCACACTCATTCACCGCGCCTACTTGCCATTCCTTTATACATATATCCACATTCATTGCAAACCTTCGCGGGCGAAGCTAACAGTCATTCAGAAACTCATCCAACCATCAAAATGAGATCTTCCATCGTTCTTGCTGCCTCTGGCGCCGCCCTCGTCATGGGCCGTGCCATCGACCCCCGTGTCCTTGACCCTCGCGCCATGGAGACCAAGTGGGATGTTGAGTACGTGACCGTCACCGTCACTGAGGGTGACATCCCGGTCGCTACTCCCACTCCTACTCCTTCCAACCCCGCCATCTACTACGAGGCTCCTGCTGCCAGCTCTTCCTCTTCCGCTCCCGCTGTGGTTGAGCCCTCTCCCGCTCCGGCTCCCATCTTCTCGACCGTCACCGTCGAGCCTGCCCAGCCTACCGTCGCTGCTCCCACCAGCGCCCCGGTTGTCGTCGAGCCCGAGACCACTCCCACCCCGACTCCCACCCCCACGCCTACTCCTACCCCGCAGCCCGCCACTTCCGCTCCTGCTGCCGTTTCCACCCCCGCTGCCACCGACGATCTTCAGACGGCCTGCATCGACTCCCACAACGTCCACCGTGGTAACCACTCTGCCCCTGCTCTGTCCTGGGACGCCGAGATTGCTGGCTACGCTGCCATCACTGCCAAGACCTGCGTCTTCGAGCATGACATGACCACCGGCGGTGGCGGCTACGGCCAGAACCTTGCCATGTGGGGTGCTACCGGCTCCGAGTCTCTCGGCGCTGCCAAGGCTGCCCAGAAGGCCATCACCGAGCAGTGGTACAACGGCGAGCTGAACCTGTACACCGGCTACGGCCAGGCCAGCCCCGACATGACCGACTTCCTCAAGTGGGGTCACTTCACCCAGATGGTCTGGAAGGACACCACCACCGTTGGTTGCGCCGTCGAGTACTGCGCCGCCGGTACCCTCAGCTCCATTGGCAGCTGGTTCACAGTCTGCAACTACAAGAAGCAGGGTATGTTCACCCACTCACCCCTTGCCAGACCTCTTTGCTAATCCATCTCAGGTAACGTCATCGGCAGCTTTGACACCAACGTCCTCCCTGCCCTCGGCGAGGCCACTGTCAACGCCAACTAAGCGGCGTGTCAATCGTCCAAACTGCACTTGCACCCTTCGCCCTGCCCGCTTGAAGCAGATCTGGGATTTTGTTTGCGACACGACCACCGGGTACGGGTGCAGATGGACTCGATCGAGCGAGCGAGGCATTTCTTCACTTCTACAGCTGTACTTTAACAGGGGATCGCTTTGACTTTTTTTCGATCTCCTCGTCCCCTCTGATGGGACCCTTTGAATCATGCGCTTTGGTCGCCAACGAATGGCATGAGTACATTTCTCTTCACACAATCTTCCGTACGGCACTTGCGTGATGGATAAGCTCGCGTTTTGGTCTGTCCGCGCCGGCTGAGAACATGATTCGAGGAAACTGGACATTGATGATGATGCATTTACGGATCTGGCGTGGAACAAGAAAACTTTTTGGGAAGGGAACGATCCCACCATGGAACATTGCATTTTCTTCTTCGATTCTTGGCCCTGGTCGCCGCCGGTGTCTCCGGCCATCACTTGATGGCTGTGATCTGCTGCGGCTGCGGCACCCTTTTTATGGACATTTGGTTCTTCTGTACCTATCGTCTCATCGACTTGATTTTCGGGTTAGGGAGGTAGCTGGTCAATGGGATCCATCTTTTTTGTCGTTTCGCAAACGATTGTTGGGTTCAATTCGGTCGTGATTGGGGTTGGTCTATGGTGATGCTTCCATGTTTGTTCCCTTTCGCAGTCGTCCTCGGTACTGAATAGGATGGCCCGCGCCGCTGTCAGGTCTGCATCCTCGTCGTCGGCCGTTATGTTTGTCGTGAACTGCTGTGCTCGTTGGTAACAGGATACTTCGGTCGTTGAATTGGTCTCATGGTCAGTCGATTGAACACGTGATTGATGTTGGCAGATGTTTGGTTTCGGCGATCAAACACAGAAAGTAGCAAAGCCAGGAGTGCTGCTACTGCACACTTGCTTGGGGGAATTCTTCAACATGTCCTTGAGAAGCGTCTCGAGCCTTTTTTAAACCTGCGTGCCTCCCTTCTCCTGAGTGAACGTCCCACGCACCGCCACTTGATGGCGCGTGTCGTCTGTCTGCTGTATATTGATCCGCTCCTCATTCCGAAACATACTGCGGCTCAGGTTGAGGCTGTGGCTCGGGCAGGTGGGCGGACGACCTCCAATTGCCGGATGACTGAGTGACAGACATTGAATATACAAGAGACGAAAAGATCGGACGAAGAAAGGGGGGTTAGGGGATCAGGGAATAGATTGGCGGCCTCCTTGTTCGTGGTCCATTAATTGGTGTCGTGGGTAATATCTTAATCCCGAGGCGAGAGGTTGCGCCCGATGACGGTGACGTCGTATTCACATCCGTGGCGCATGCGCTCACGATGGAGGCCAAAATGTGCCATGATGAAGGGAAACTCGAGGCCAATTCGATTTCGCAGGATTGGCCTCAATTGAGGATGTTGATACGGTCTCACACCGCCCAGTTGTTGATCGTGTTGAGGGCCAGAATCCCACTCTGAGTCAGATCCGAATGTAGCCTAGACTAGACTCTTGCGCCTCTCGCGTACATGATCAACATCGTCAATGGCAGCCTAGCCGGCGAATAGAGTCATACAATCCCCAGTTGTCGTGTCTGCAGGCGAGTCGCGTGAGTATTTATTTTGGAACAGCACTCTTCCAATCACGAAAGCAAAAGGCCAAGCACCAAAATCGCCTCCAATTGAATGATATAATACACCTCCTATCATGACAACAAGAAAAGTCATACACCGCCCTACAAAACACACTCCCGCCACACATCCCAAAATGAAGCGCCCAAGCGCCGTAGACGTCGTCGCCGACCTGCGCCAGACGGAGCACGCAGGCACACGCACCGCCGCCATCGCAACCCTCGGCAAAGCCCTCCGCCGCTCCGACAGCTTCCTCCCGCTATGGACCGCCGTCGGCGGCGCAGACGGCCTCGCGGCGCTGATGGCCGAGTTCAGCGTCAAGGACGTGCAGGTCCTCTGCCGCTGGCTGGGCCGCACCGCGTCCGCGGAAAACTTCCGCGCGGAGCGGCGCGCGGGCATGGGACAGCTCGTGAGGCTGCTCTACGACGCGGAGAGGGAGGATAAGCGGCCGCTGAGGGTGTACTACCAGGACCTGATCCCGGCGTGCGAGCTGGAGGTTGTGGAGGAGTGGGAGGCAGACGGGGCGGAGTGGACGGCGTTTCAGCAGAAGGCGCTCTCGAGGGGCCATAGGGAGAGGTATGAGGAGAACTTCCTTGCGCGCGTGTTTGAGGTGGATGAGGGGCAGAGGACGCTCTCGGCGGACCGGACAGTGTTCAAGGGGAATATGAAGCTTCACGAGCAGGTGTTTGAGAAGATTGTCGACCGGGAGGGGGAGGCTCAGATCCCGAGTGACTTTTACCAGGAATTCGCATTGCCTTTGCTCAGGCGTCTGGTGAAAAAGAGGGCGGACGAGGCGACGAGGGACAAGTTCTTGGATTATGTGGTCAGCGTGGCGCGCAAGTATCCAGATGAGCTCGGCCGGTACCCGAACGTGGTAGAGAGCAGTTTGCTGCAGTACGCCATTCGCGAATGGAAGACCGCGAAGGAGGAGCGGAAGGAGGTGATGAAAGCACATGTAGTGCACTTGCTGGAGCTGTATCCGGCTGGGAAGAAGGCCTGGGAGAAGCAGGCTACTCTGTGGACTGTGGAGCGCATCATCAACGCGCCGAGGAGAATGACCCCTGAGGCGCGCTTCGAGCTTCTCCGGCTGGCTATGCGACACCTCCACGGATACGGCATCGACATTGACGATGACTCGGAGTCTGGAATCGCTCGGCTGAAGAACCTGCCGGTTGAGGGTGACCTCTGGCCTGTGAACGTATTCTACTCGATCGATGTCGAGAATGCCAGGGCACTGTTCGAAAGGCTGGCAAAGGCATACCCAGGCGGCGACTTCTTCGCAACTGGTGCATACCGCGGCAACGCGTCGGTCTTGAGGCAGGGGAGAGATCCGGACAATCTCCGCTGCGGCGACTTCGAGATCCTCCGGTCCCTGCTGATTCGCAAGTCCAAGGCTGGGGGTGAGGACAAGACCTGGCTCGATCGCGAGCGACGAATTGTCGAGGACAGGAAGAAGGCGGCGCAGCAGTCGCGCGAGCCTATACACCGCGCCTTCTGGACCAAGTCGGCGATGAACCTCTGCGTCGCGGCCGGGGACCTGGAGATGCTCGCGGACACGGTGCTCTGGGCACGACGGTTCAACAAGGATTCACTTACGGTATATCATCTTTACAGCAGCGACGTGTGGGAGACGGTGGAGGTAGTCGCGCTTCTGGGTGGCATCCCGGAGAAGGAAACCCCGGCGGCTGAGAGGGCGACACTCGCGTCTATCAAGAAGGACGTCGACATCGCAAACAGGATCCTGGTTGATCTCACCCAGACAGCGATCATGGTTGTGCAGGAACCGGGCTTCGACCGCTCCAGATGGCTCAGCGTACTCCGCCTGCCAAAGGCCGTGGCCGATTCCCGTTTACACAAAGACAACGTCGAATCCTTCGAGAGCATCGCCAAGGCCGGCGGCTCGGAAGACCACGCGCGAGAGATTACAGATATCCTATGGAAACCAACGATGGACGTGCTGCTCGAGGTGGAGGCGCTCCTCTACAGCACAACCTCAACGACCCTCCTCAACTCGTCCAACAGCGTCGAGGTCCAGGCCGTCTACATCCTGAACGGCATCCGCGACGCCACCCCGAAACTCCTGGCTGAGCTGGCCAAGTGGCTCATGGACAACATGCGAGAGCGCCTTGGCGCGAAGAGACTCAACGCCCAGATGTGGAATATCGTCACCATCGTCCTCCGCGTGGCAAACAGCGACCAGCCCGCGCTTGCGTGCCCCTTCATCCGAAACCTCATCATGGACGGCGGCGAGAACAGCTCCTGGCATCGCCAACTCATCAACGTGAGCTTCCTCCGCTCGCTGCCGGCCAAGGCCGCCAAAGAGTTCCTCTTCACCATGGCGAATGCGATGCGGGACAAGATGCGCGAGCAGAACGCGCGACCGTTCGTCAAAGAGGGCAGTAAGGCGCAGGCGCAGCACAAACCGGCGATCAAGGTCACGACCATCAAGATGATGGCGCAAGTGCTGAATAACAACCGCTTCATCGACGCGGTCTCGTCCTGCGACATCCTCACGTCGCTGCTTTCCGAGGCGAGACACATTGATGCCAGAATCACGATCGTGGACAGCTTGATCAGCACGATGGAGGTCCCTTCCTGCCCTCCTGAATTACGGCAGCGTGTGCTCGACGCGCTGGAGAAGTACATCGTCCCTGCAGCGGCGCAGCTGAGCGAGCGCAGGCCGTACTCGGAGGAGGAGTGGGCGGCTGGTCTTCCTGAGGCCGGAGAGGAGACGCCCCTGACGGAGATACTTCTTGCTCAGACGAAGAACACGAAGTTGAGCGACGAGGACAGGGCGAGGATTGCGGAATTGGTCGTGGCTGCGCTGGAGGGATCTGCTGCCACGAACGCGAGGTGGATGGACCTCTTTCTTACCAAGAACGGCTTTTCACTCGACGATGGGGAGACGCTTCCGCGCTGCCCTGTCAATCCGAAGGTGCTTTCGTCCATGCTCAAGAACTGCACATCATACATGCCCGTCTCGCTGCTCACGATGCTGCGGGAGATGGCTTTGGTCAACATCGATCCCTCGCCAGGCATCACACGGGTCACAGAGGCAGTCAAGAAAGACCGCGACCTGCTCAACAGCAACGCAGGCAAGCACTGGTTCAAGCACTTTAATAATCCCGGGTTCCATGCCTCTTCTCTCGGGCTCGATGTTGCCGCGGCGGTCTTACAGCGTCCCGCCGTGTGGATGAAGTCCAAGCTGGAGAACGGCAAGGGGGTGGACTTCAAAGCGGTGCAGGACTTTGTGCTTGCGGCCGCGAACAAGTTCCTCCAGAAAGAGCGCGTCGAATTGGTGGATGCGCTAGCCAGTCGGCTGTGTTCGGAGCGGATGTTGAGCCCACAGCACTGGGAGAGCTGGCGCGAAAACTGCGTCCCCGTGGTGAACGACATCATCGCAAGCATCAACGACATGCGGCTAAGCCCGGGGCGCGCTCCCACGTTGCCCAACGTATTCCGGCTCAAGGTCGAGATCCTGCCGCTACCCTTCTCCTCAGCCCGGCATGCTGCCACGTTCGACGACTCCGTGGCCTATGTCATCGCACTTTCAGATCTCATCGAGGAGCTCGGCAGCCGGCGGGGGCCGTACCACGAAGACTTTGCGTATCTCAAGAGCGACATGGTGAGGGCGCGGAGCAAAACGGGCTTTGCGCTGTTCGCGGTGGAGCTGGCGCGGATGCACGCCGCGTGGGCCTCGTGGGAGCCGACGTTGGCGGAGTACTTGCGGATGGAGGTCGTCGGGGAGCTGTTGCTTGCCGCGGAGGACCCGAAGGTTAAAATTCTTGCGGGCGATGTGTTGGAGATGATGGGCGATTGGACGGGTGCGAATGAGGATGAGATGAGGGCGCTGGGTGTGGTTTATGAGGGGAAGCTGAAGGCGCTGGGGAAGAAGGGGTGGATTCCGTGGGACGAGCAAAAGTAAACCCGAAATGCCATGTATTCATTAATGTTCAATGCACACATCCTGCATCCACAATGTTTGCTTGATATGTTTGCTCAAGCATCGACAAGTTTGTCGTTGGCCCGAGAGTCGTCAATCTCACGCAGTCCCCTGGAAGATCTGGATCTCAGGGAGCGGCCCCACATTTTCGAAACCGGCGTGGGGGCAGCAGCAGCTTCACCGCACCTCAAGGAGCCTTCAAGGTCAAAAACGACACCTCATCCTTCTCTCACCTCACTCATCTTCTTCACCTCCAACAACGTCAATCTCACAAAATCGTCAACATGGTCTTGAAAGGAATCTCCCCCGTCATCTCCCCCGACCTCCTCAAGGTCCTCGCCGAAATGGGCCACGGCGACGAGATCGTGCTGGCCGACGCCCACTTCCCGGCCCACTCCATCTGCCCGCCTCACATTCCCGTCTTGAGGGCTGACGGTGAGTTTTGATCTACATCTCACATATATCAGACTGTCCATTTACTGACGAAAACAAAAGGCATCACCGTCTCCAGACTCCTCGCTGGAATCTCCCCCCTCCTCGAGCTCGACAACTACGGCGTCGTCCCCGTCATCATGATGGAGGTCGTCAAGGGCGACACCTTTGACGCGAGCGTCGAGAGTGACTTCAGGAAATCGCTCAAGTACGACGGCGAGATTGAGAAGCTGGAGAGGTTTGCGTTCTACGAGAGGTCCAAGAAGGCTTTTGCGATTGTGTCGACGGGCGAGACGAGGAAGTATGGCAACATCATTCTGAAGAAGGGTGTCACACCTATTGCTGAGGAGATTTAAGCAAAATAATTGAAAATTATTTCTGGTTTATCTCAAAGAGATGATAGTTAAACTATATATGTGTGAGCTGTGCAAGTCTGGTGCACTTTTCTGAGGCTTAAGGTAGCCGATGAACACCACTGAAAATGCCTGCAGAACGAGGATACAGCTGTCTTTCTTGATGAGTCTGGCTAAACCAGGCTGACGATTACACATAGCTTTTACTCACCCGGAACGTGTAACTATTGTTATGATTGTTGTTTCGTATAACCTAAAACAGGTAAGAAAGACAAGATGGCCAAGCTCATAAACCAATAAGGGTGCCACGGCTTCGCAAAGTTATCACCGCAGTGATTGATCACCCAACGAGCCCTGCTTAATACTGGGGTTATCATGGCTTTAACAGGGATCAATTCTATTGTTGCGGTGCGGTTCTGTCTGTGACCAGAGATTCGGAGCCATATCTCCAATTTCGACAGCGAAGCTTCGAAGCAGCACCCGGTCGGGGGACGATTCAGTCAGTAGATTGCTTCGGGAAGTCAAGCTCCAAGGTGTTAATGTGTCATTCAGGAAAAGCCGAGGCTCCTGTCGCCGTTGAAAGCGTTACATATTGAGATACACAGTAGATCAAGTGGAAGTATTGCTTTGGTGACGACTTCCTACGGAAAACGAGTTGTAAAGAGCAATGCACTCCTAGGAGTGGGTAGTGAAACTTGGATCTATGCCTCTGGAAAGTTTTGATCGATCTAGTGAGCAACAGATCACGATATGGCGCGAAAGGTTTCTTAAATCACTCTACTGGACGAGGGTCTTGCTTTGTATCTTTTCATGGAAACTAGGCATCAGCTGTCAACACATTGCGCAACCTCACCACTCCTTCAACATTACTGAGCCGTTTTGATGCAGGGATCTGAAGGCAGTGCTTGAGTTCACTAGTTCCATTTGAGCGAAAACTCAGCAAGAGTAACATAGCATACAGTCTTGTAGAGCCCGATTAGGACAGCCACAGAGTGGTATGTTGGTTCCAGTTGCATGAAGCAGGCTGGGGGCAATCTGCGAATAGAAACCCCACTAAGATTCCTATAGCGTTGTAATCGGGGGATAGAAATTGTCGAGCGAGTCTCATGGGCGGCTGGGTCATTCGTTCGTGACTCAACCTTGTTCATCCTGTGGTGGGGGCCCGAACCCCGACTTTCACCCTCGAAACCTTCAGCGTAGGCGATCGTGAAGAGCAACCGGAGTAATCGGCAAGGTCTTGCCATAAATATTGATTGCGATGCGCGGGACAGGCTTCTGACGCGCGGCAGCATTGTGGCGATGGGCATGATATGCAGGGGGTGCCGAGCGCAGTTCTGCTTGTGCATGCAAGACGCCTAGTAGTTTCTCCCAGAATTATCACATGATCATAAGTTCAAGAGATCTGTGTCAAGGTTGACGACTTCTATAGCACTAACATGAACAGAACGTGGCAAAACTTCCCATCGGTCGTTGACTATGTGTACTAATCGTACTTTTGTAAGGCATAGACTCAACCAACAGGTCTGAATACAATTCTGTAAGAAACTCTGCCATGCCAATGAGATTCTGAGTTATAAAACCGCAGTCAGTCAAGGAATGTGATGCGAGGACGTCAGAAGTATGCACTCTGCGGGACCACAAGGCCACCGGCACCCTTGGGCCGATGTACAGTTTGCATTGATTGCAGCCGTAACGCATACAACGAATGAGATTTTATCGAATAGAGTTTTTGGACACTGCCACACCTATTAGGCACCTGCATCGGCGGTGGCGTCATGTGTTCGAGGTTTGCAGTCAAAGCGACGCACTCAGCCATGATGATGACGGATGACATCGGACTGGCGGACGACATAAAACACGGTTGCAACCCATGCCTCTATTCATTCTATGGTAGATAGCCAAATCATAAGCTTCTCAATCGACGTGATCTCTACCAAAAAGTTTCCTCCAATTGTTGATCAACATTATTCACTACAATGAAGACCTCATCCATTCTCTTCGTCGCTATGAGCGCTCTCGCGAGCTTGACCGAGGCCAGACGCGGATGCAAACCAGACGTCGCTCACCCTGGATTCGGCACATACACCATCGCCAGCGGAGACAACCTGAACGACATTGCTACAGACTTTGGCACCACTGCCACCCAGCTTGCGACCATCAACAGTATCCCTAACCCGGATCAAATCAAGCCCGGAAACACTCTCGTCGTGCCGTGCCGATAGTCACTCTGGCTTGAGAAATTGTTGAACGACGCCTAGATTGCAGCGCCATCGATGACGAACAAAACCAACTTGGCGTTCACTGGGAAGGCATACGTATACTTAGGAGGAGCCTGAGATGCGTCTGGAATCACTAATGGAGGAAGTTTTGTATTGTTTTCACCTAGCATCGAACCTCTTATTTAAGATCAATGTGTAATGTAGAACATGAGAAGATTTGGATTTACAATACACGGAGTTATCGAGTGACATATGCGACGTCAAAATCTGTTACTGGGTCATTTATTATTCTCTTTATTGCTGTCGTCGTTGTCATCGTCGTCGCTGTCTGTCGCCGTCTACGCACACTGACGCCGGCCAGATAGGAGGTAATTTTGAGAACAAAACTTCAGCTATAAACCGGGGGAACCTGGTGATATAAAGGTACTTGGGGCTTCGCGTACGAGAGCGAAAAAAACTGTCTAATCTTACGTCGATAGGACATGTTTTGTTGCCGACTAGAAAGATGACTTTTGAAGAGATGGCTAGAAAAATAGAAGAAACAGCGTAACTATCCTCTTCGTAATGATAATACCTAGTCAGCCTGAATATTGAGTATTCTCATGATGTATCCAAGGAAATATTTTGCAGCAACAGCTTGAGAGTTATAATACCCAAAGCTCAACATCCTATCTTCGTTACAACTCTAGACAGCAGAAAACTTACTTTGAAGCTGCCTGAGGACTATCACATTTCTCTTTCACATTCTCCATTTCTATTGGAACCAAACGGCTTTGCATCGCTGTGTATTGTTTTTGGTTGCGATTATTTTTGGCTTGCGCCCCGGATATCCAGACCCACTACACGTTAGTGAAGGTAAGTGTTGATTGACACTGGCTGATAGACGGAAAGAAAGATAATGTGACATAATTGATTGGAAATTTCAACCATTCTCACGCTTGAAAGTCAGTTATGACACGTATGAAATCAATTTTATGGATGTGCTCAGCTGCGTTGCCTAGCCATCTGAACAAGACGGACGAGTTGAAGTGCTGCGGCCAACTACCTGCATGACAGGTAATGCATACCGTCGTCTATTATTATCGCGCCTTGTTATGTGAGTGTTTACTTTTACATGCGGCGTCTCCAAGCCTTCGTCTGTTCAAATCCGACTGTTAAACAGGCTGTGCGTTAAGTCGAGATCGCCGGTGACGCAAGCATCTGGAGGCCATCAGCCACTGCGCCAGGGAGACGGCGGGGCAATTTTCACGTAGCGTTATGCAATTGATTTCTGGGCTCACTGAAAAAAAGCGAATTGGGCAACAGGTGCATATTCGTTGCAACAGGCTTTCGTTGGCACACAATGAGGCGGCCAAGAGGGCCTCTTCCTGGGGTCTTCTAGGGTTGATATGCATCTGGCCCCGCAAATGAAGCGTGATTGAGCATTTTGCATAGACTGCATAGTGACCACTTCGACGTGCATTCGTTTTGACGGTTGATCTTTCCGTTCATGTTAAGAAACATAGGGCTTGCGCGCTTTTCCCTGTCGTACAAAATTCCTTAAGAATTATCGTCAAGACGGTGCCCTGTCGAAGTGAAATGGAACTTAATCCCCTGTTCAATACAGAGTACAGTGAGGACTCAGACGACTTTTTGAACAGCTGACCCGCTCTGGGATCCGATAATTGTTCAATCGCCGATGATGTGGGACTTAAGAAGTAAGCGAGGTGTAGCATTTAGGGGGTTGGATTGGCAGACGAAATCAGGCTGCCAGCAGTAAGCTTACTTTAAGAACCAGACCCCGCACACTGGCAACATCATGTCTGAGTCAAGCCTCAGAACTCACTGCCGCCAATTGTCAGCGTGAACACCGCTCCTCCTTGGAACCCCTCCCCCATCGACCTGACCAACATGCTTTGCGACGTGTGCAAGGAGGGTGTCGAAGGGATATGGGATCCCGGCCGCACCAAGCGTGTGGGAATGCTCAATGAATTGGAAGCACAATGGGGGGGCGACTACGATGAGCCAAGAGATGGTTTCGCAAAGTATTGGTCATCTCTCTCGGAAGGTACGCAAAGATATGAGTCAATATGATCGATGCCCATGAATATATGACGAATAATTCATTAGACAGTGATGATTTTGCCGACCTTGAACCCTCTGAATGCTTATTCATTCATCATAAGACTGCGACCTCTTTCATGGCCTCGATGCATGATGGGTGTGCCATATGCAACCATTTCTATAGGTGGAGTCATATCGACATACCGAGCTCGCTTCAAGAAGATGAAGAAGATTCCAGGTGCTATTTCTCAGTCTTCAGTATGGATATAGATTGGGAATACCATTTCTTCTCGATACAAATTTTAGCCAAGACGTATCGATGTATGGATTTCTTGATTAAAGCTGTAGGTAAGACATCAAATCACAAAGACGGATTCTAGTATACCTTGAATAATCAGAAAACTGACAATCTATACGAAGATATCAACGAAGATCGGAACATAAATTTTGAGTGTGAAGCATCAACCAACAGCGCTAGTACATGGTCTATCATCGGTGATTGGATGGAAACATGCACCGAGTCTCACCAAGCATGTCGGCAGCCAGACTTAGCGACATCTTATCGACCTACTCGTCTATTGCAAATGAATGAGTCGAGCTCATTCCGGTTGGTACAAGGCTCCGAATGCCCTGCAGCTATACAGTACGCAGCACTTAGCTACTGCTGGGGTTCAAAGCCTGCACACAGCCTTCTACGATTACTTCGATCAACTATGAGTGGTTTGAGAGAATGGCAGCCATTTGATGGGTTGCCAAAGACATTCAGAGATGCTATGATCATAGCCCAACGACTTGGCATTCACTACCTGTGGATAGACCGTCTCTGCATTTTTCAGGACTCAGCTGAGGATTGGCGTCACGAGGCCTCCACTATGCAAGACGTGTATCGAAATGCGTATATTGGTATCGGAGCTCTTGGTGCGAAAGACGACGAGGGTGGATGTTTCTTTGAGCGAGACCCGGCAAAAGCAGGGCCGACTGTCTTCAGCTTCAAGATGGAGCCAGACGGCGAAATGATGGACTTTATGTGTGAGCGAGAGAAACTTTGGTCGTGGAGATACACATTCCAGCACGAACCCCTGTGTCAACGGTCATGGGTTGTGCAGGAGAGGCTTCTGGCACCCCGTACCCTATATTTTGGGTCGAAGCAGGTGTTCTGGGAGTGCCGCGCAAGAACCTGTTGTGAGATGCACCCGGAGGGAATGGACTCCTGTGAAGGTGATCCTAAGGAAACGCCAACAGAGAAGCCGTGGAAGCAACTGCTGGCCGCAGAACGCGATAACAATAGACCGTCCCATCGGCACCAGTTATTTTTCGAATGGGATGTAGTAGTCGAACACTACGCAAACCTACAACTCACCAGGGCTAGCGACAAACTTGTTGCATTGTCTGGGCTGGCAAACGACATGCAGAAGAGGCTTAACGAGTGGCAGCCGGGACTACATCGCTATCTAGCTGGTCTTTGGGAGGACGAATCGATACGTCAACTGACTTGGTTCGTAGGAGGCTCGGCCAAGAGAGCCAGCCAGTACAGAGCACCATCGTGGTCTTGGGCATGTCTTGACGGGAAAGTAAGACCGGGTACGATGTTAACGAAGGTCGGTGAATGTGTCGAACTCGCCTCAATGATTTCGGCAGAAATGGAATATCCCAGTAAGGAGGAGACTGGCGAAGTCAAGAGTGGCATTTTGACTATAGAAGGACCATGCATGTGGGCAAAACTGCAACCCGGTGCCAAGACGGGTCCCAATTCGGCTATGGTATCTCCTTTACCAGGACTCAAAGGTCACGTTTGGTTTGACACCTTGAATGACGTGACTGGAGAGGCTTTCCTACTCTGGACATATTATGATACCGGACTCTATAATGACGCTGATGGAGCAGATATGAGGGGTCTTATACTTGAATTGACAGAAAACGACAGATATCGGAGACTAGGGTCCATAAGAGCCAGCGGCCATGAGGAAGACATAGAGTTTATCGAGGCGCTGCCGCAGACACGAGTCAGAATTATTTGATCTAAGAGGTCCAAGATCACAAGGAAAGCAATGAAGATAGGAGACAAGTAATTTGCAGTCATTTACGGCATCAAAACCGGAGCTACATACATCCAATCAACCAGTTCTCATATCTACGGGTAATAAACACCCCAAACTCCTCGCCCTCGACAACCTCACAGAATCGAAGCAACTTTTCCGAAATTCAAACCGGCTTATCACGCTACATCAGCCCTATTGACAGGCCTGTAAATACCGTCCTCAAGCCTGTACGCCCCAGGCTTCTGCGTGGTCACAAGCTCCTTAAGTGCAGGGCTCCTCTTCGCCAACGCGTCGTTCTCGCTCTTCAACACAATGATGTTCCTCAACCCGCCTCTGGCCTCGGAGTGAATCTTCCGCAACAGCTTCGTCGCGATCTCGTCGTCATTGACGCCATCCTTGCGGATGACGACCCACGTCGCGCCGCCGAGGCGGGCCGTGACGACGCCAGAGAGCAGGCCGGGGAAGAGCCAGGGGTACTGGAGGATCTCGGCCTCGAAGGCGTTGATGGACTCGCGGGCGAGGGCGGTGTAGGCTTCGTCGCTGAGCATTATGCCAAGGCGGAAGAGGTTGGAGACAGAGACGGCGTTGGTCGAGGGGAGCGCCGTGTCCATGCCGTCCTTCAGGCGGAGGATCGTGTGCGGGGCGTTTTCGGGGGTTGTGTAGAAGGCGCCGCATGAGGATCGAGCGGTGGGGGATGTTGGGGTCGTAGCTGGCACTGAAGTGCTATCGTAGAAAATGTCGATTTGGACCTCTGTGAATGTGTCAGTGGCGCCAATAAAATCATGTAGAATGCAACTCACTCTGAAGCTCATCCGCAAACTCAGCCCATTTCTCCTCTCCAGTAGCCTCATACAGGTCGATCAGACCCTCAATGAGGTGTGCGTAGTCATCCGCCAGGCCCTTCGTGTCCCCCCGGCCCTCACTGTATATTCTGTAAAGAATCTTCTCGTTCTCATCCCAGAGGTTGGCTCTGATGAATGCCGCGGCCTTGCTAGCTGCCTCGAAGCACGCATTGCTTCTGTCGGCGTCAAAAGGTGCCAAGGCCGATCCTGTTCTCGCCAGAGCACCAATTACAAGTCCATTACGTCCTGCGACAATCTTAGTGTCGGCTTCAGGTCTCGTGCGCTCCTTTTCTCTGTGGGCCTTGAGCTTTTGCTTGGCTGAAGCCAACACTCTCTCGACGTCGTCAATGGTGATACCAGCCTGTCGTCCGATCTCGGCCTTGTCCTTGACAACGCGCAAGATGTTCTCGTTTACGAACTCGTCGTTCGGGTCTTGGTCGGGCTCGATGTTACCGTCCTCGAGGACGTTCCAGTACGAAGCGGCCAGCGCGGCCTCGTGGTCGTCGCCGATGACCGAGTCGAACTCCCTTCTTGTCCACAGGCTGTATGCTCCCTCCCGCAGGTGTCTGTCTCCGCGACGGTATGAGTCTGCTGCCTCACTTGAGACGAAACCACCGTCGGGTAAGCTGATTGGGGCGCTGGTCAGATAATCCACCAGCTCGACCACGACATCGTAGAACTCTCCGTTCTTCTCGCCACCCGTGGCAATCAGCCAGGCATCCAAGTACAGGCCAAGAAGAAGGGCATTGTGTACGACCAGCTTCTCGAAGCGCGGCACACTCCAGTCGGCTGTGACGGAGTACCGCGCAAAGCCGTGGCCTCCGACGTGGTCGCGCAGACCGCTGTCGCGGATCTTACGCAGCGTGAAGAGAGCCATCTCAGCTGCGTGCGCGCACTCGGTCTCGCCAACCACATCCTGCACAGGGGCAAGGTATCTCGGCAGGCGCAGCAAGAAGGACAGCTTCGGCGGGGTGGGGAACTTGGGCGCAACGCCGAAACCACCGTACACAGGGTCGAAAGTGCCCGCAATGTGTGTGTAGGCCTCTTCCAAATGCTCAAGGTCAAGCTCGCTCGACACCACAGCAGCCGTCCTGCCCGTTCCAGGGTGCTCCAGGCCAGTCTCAGATCTCGCGAGTGTAGCACTCTGCGAGCCTGCGACGCCAGGCTCAACAGTACTTGTGGCCCCGAGAGTTCCCTCGGCGGCGAAGTCGTGCAGCTTCACCACAACCTCCTTCGCTTCTTGCCTGCACCTTGCTTCCTGCTCCTTCCAGACCTTTTGTAGCTTTTTCAGAATAGCCAGGAAATCCAGACGCTCATCGTCTCCGGAGCTGCCGTTGTTCGGCTCCGGTGCGGGGTAGTAGGTGCCGCCGAAAACTGGCTCAAGCTCGGGGGTGAGGAAGAGGTTCAGCGGCCAGCCACCGTTCCCGCTGACGGCCTGGACGTAGTTCATGTATATGGTATCGAGCTCGGGGCGTTCCTCGCGATCGATGATGACGGGGATGAAGGACTCGTTCAGGATCTTGGCGCATTCTGAGTGGGTGAAACATTCGGTAGATGTGAGTCGCGAATCTGAAGGTGCGAGAGTTAGCGAAGTCCCCGAGACCATGGAATGGCATATTGCTTACAGTGGCAGGCCTTGAAGCCGATGTGGAGAAAGATCAACTTGTTCTCCTTCTTCGCCCGGTCGATCGTCTCGTCGTCGAGCAGCTGCCACGCAACCTTGCCCTCGGCATGGCTGCGGACGTAGGGGCTCTTGCTCTGGCCGACGCGGTTCACCAGCGGGACGGTCTGCGGCGCATCGTCCTTCAGCTCAGCTGTGAGCTGCGATTGGGGTTGCTCAGCCCGCGCCGCCTGCGACAGCTCAGAGGCGACCATGGTGTATGTAGCGCTATGTGGCTTGGAGCTCTGTATGATTCAAGCAGGTGGTGTTGCGCGGCGAGTCGAACACAGCTCGTCAAATCGAAGTATCACGAGATTCTCCGTCCAGGGGTCCTCGAGGTGCCGGTCAAGGGTATCGATACGGGGGGAAGCGAATGCAGCGGCAGCAGCTTTTAGCTCGTCAGTCGGCCCGAGGAATCTGGCGGCGCAAGGTGAGCAAGTTGCAGGTTAGGTTGGTGGGTTGTTGCACAGCAAGTCGGAGAAAAAACGAGTCATGTGGCGAACGGGATCGAAGTTTTCCAGAAGGTGGCCTTTGTAGTTCAGGAAAGACGCGGTCTGACGAACGACCCGGCTGCAGAGGCTCCAGTGTATGGTGTGTGGAACGCGAGACCCGTTTAATTGTTGGTCGACTCGAGCGGTAAAGCCGTTGAGCGTCAAACGCAACACAACACCAGCGGCTGGGCGGGCGGACGACGGAACGGGGTCTCGGAGGGGGGGCAGCAACTGGAGGCTGGAGGGGCGCGGAAAGCAGAGACGTCACTGCTGCACGATGCCTGAACGGTTATTCGGTACCTGCGTGAAGTGGCTTGATTAATCTAGCTATAAGCGCCGGGCGCGCCTGGCTATAAAGTGGTGTAACTAATCCTTTACGTAAAGGTGGGATTTAGGCTAGGGTTCAGGCCTTAGGCCTAGGCCTAGCTAACTACTATCTCATACCCCCCTTTTAGCTAATACCTCCTATACCTTATAAAGCTATTCCTATCCTAAAGTAGTAATTAGATTAATTATATAACTATTAGCTTTATTTCTAGCTATCTTCTTTATACTTTCCTTTTTATATTAACTTTATTATCCTATCTTACTTCTTAAAATACTTCTAACCTCTAACTCTTAGTTATATATTAATTATAATATAAAACCCTCACTAACTTTAAAGTAATTTTAATATAAACTTAAGCTATATAGTTTAGTAGTTTAGCTACCTCTAGATTATATAGACTTAGATTAAAAAAACTAATAACTTAACTTTAAAGCCTTAAATTTAAATTAAATTTATAGTAATTAGGTCTAATTAACTCCTTAATATTAGTTAAATAATATAAGTTCTATATTTTATAATTAAACTTAATACTTTAAAATAAATAGAGTTTATAGATTCTTATAAAAGTTAGTTCTAAGATATATTAATATTTTATATAAACTTAATTAACTAAGATAATTATTAGAAAATACTATAAAATCTAGTTCTCTTTTTTATTTTTATTCTAAGTTATACTTTTAAGATCTAATTAAAATTAGGTAAATTAAACTTAAGTTTATATCTCTTTTAGTAGTTAGTATTATTATATTTTAATATAAATAAATATTAACTAAGATATCTAACTTAGTAATAAACTTATAACTTAGTGAAATTAAAGTCTTTAATTACTTTCTAAGCTTTTATTATTAAATAACTTCTTATATAGGAGATTTTTATAATTAGTAATTTAACTATTAAAAAGAGTAAATTAAGGCGATTAAAATAATATAAAGTCTAACTATAAAAGTTAATTAGTTAGTAAGATATAAAGGAATAAAGTTATTATATATAAAAGAAATAAATAAGTATATAAGACTTAATTAAGATTAAGTCTTAAGATATTATCCTTAGATTAAGACTTATTATTAGTTATAAGTAGTTTAAATAAACCTAATATTCTAATAAAGTTATAATATTTCTCTATTACTAATAGTTTAGTAAGGCTATTAGTAACTATCTTATAAGTTAAGATATAATTAATCTTAAAATCTCTATTACTAATATTATTAATAATCTAATAATATTTAATCTTAATATAGTATAGTTTAAGTAACTATTTACTTAATAGATAATTATTAAAAGTATTTATAAAATCTATATATACTTAGAGAGGTAGTTAAATAGAGATATTTATCCCTTTAAAGAGATCTATAATATATAGTAAAGCTTTCTCTCTAAATATTAGATTTATCTACTTAGCCTTATAGGTTAATATAGTTATAAATAATTATAATATTAATTTCTAAGTAATTAGTATTCCTCTATATATAACTATATAGCTAGCTATTAACTTATTTATTCTTTTATAATTAGACTAGTTAGTATTATAAAATACTAATAATTTGAGGTTATTAATAGAATAACCTAAACTACTAAAATAGAGTACTAATTATTATAAGCTATAAAGATATCTCTATATTAATCTTAGTAGTTTATTATACTTTTTAGAGGTATATTAT